TCTTGCATTCTGATTTGGGGAGGAAGGGGGGGAGAGGGGGGGGTGCAACTCATTAGTGAAATGAATTAAAGTAGATTAAAGTAAATAACAGTACAGCGTGGGTTTTAAGTTTTAGGAAGCGTTTGAAGGCACTCGCAACTGCATAAGGTCATATGAGCACCAGAAGATTAGATGTGTTACAAGAGAGTAACAGACATAAAAAGAGGAAGGGGAGATAAGAACAATATTTTGTTTGATGGGAAAGAAGTAAACCACACCAGAGCACCCACCAACCACCTACGAGGAGGGAGAGGGGAAGGGGGGGGGGCTGCAGCTCATTAGTAAAAATAATTACAGTACATGAAAGTACATAAAAGTACAGCGTGGGTTGGGTTTTAAGTTTTAGGAAGCGTTTGGTGGCACTTGCAAAACAATAATGATGGTCTTTTAAGTCCAGCAGCAGTCTGTTCCTCTGCATCTCGTTCAGCTTTAGGCTGATCGCTTGCATTCTGATTTGGGCAGGAGGGAGAGTTTTAGTTTTAGTAGAGGTTTTACGGCGCTCGCAACTGCATAAGGTCATATGAGCGCCAGAAGATTAGAGGTGTTACAAGAGAGTAGCAAACGTAAAAAAAAAAGAAGGGGAGATAAGGACGATAGTTGTTTGATACGAAAGAAGAAGCAAACCACACCAGAGCACCCGCAAACCAACCACGAGGAGGGAGAGGGGAAAGGGGGGGGGGATGCAACACTACAATAACTACAAATGGTCGACTTTAAGCACAAGGGGTTATCCCGAAAAATGTTGTTTTGAGAAAATCGACGGTAAACTTTTTGCCCCGTATTCAGTTTATTTAAAAGACAAGGAGAGTTTTCTCTATAACCAAACAAACATACACACCAATGAAACCAATGAAGGGTAGGGCACTACCCACTGTTTGTGTAGGTCAAGATTTCTGGAAACCCCTGAAATCTGAGTTAGCCCTCTTGTCTATTAAAGCGATCAGTTGATAGGTGATATTAAAATTTGTAGGTGAAGACAGATGGGAAATCCGTCCACAGAGATAGAGAAAGCCCAGATAGACAGGAACGAAGAAGCCTGATTCCTAAATTGCTTGAAGTGAAATGGCAGTGGATAACAAAGATAGTTCGTTCGCTGACGTCTGACAATGACCAATGCAACTGCATAGGAGAATCTCAGCCTGCACAAAGACGTGCCACCCGCTACTCTGCCGCAAGCTGACAAAACGCCTTTTTTAAAATTCACAGCAATTTCGAGAAAAATAGGGCTTTTTTGTCAGCGTAACCGTTGAAAAATAGTCATTCCGAAATTTGAATTCTAATTTACTTTTTGTTAAACTAGTCACAATTTCATTTTGATTTTTTTCAACAAAAGCAGGGTAACCGATCAGACTTTCAATATTTAACAAATAACAAAATGTGGGCATCAAAATGAAAAAAAAGCGTTTTGTCAGCTTTGGCAGTACTCACTTGGAACCCTGGGAATCTTTCTTGATGGCCAGCGTCTGCTGGCTGGACAACACCGCCTGCTCCACGCCCTTGGTGTGTGACACCAGACTGGACAGCGCTGACCGCTCCTCCACGATCTTGTCCTCGGTCGTCTTGATCCGGCTGGACAGTTTGTTGATGAGATCGTTGACGATCTGCAGCGAGCCTTCCAGCTGATGGCGAGACATTCGGTCCTCCTGGGAAGAGCGGGAAAAATAAATGTTAATGTACATGACATAGGGTACATGTATAGTGGTGTTCTTGGGTCTGCTGAGGTCGTGTTTTATGAATGTACTTTAGTTTTAGTAGAAGTTTTACGGCGCTCGCAACTACATAGGGTCATACGAGCACCAGAAGATTAGAAAAAAAATTGGTATGAGTTAAACGCCCCTATCAACACTATTAGGTTATTTAAGGGGCGGGACCTCCTAGTTTAACGTCTGTCTCTGATAGGACTAGAAAATTAGAGGTGTTACAAGAGAGTAACAAACATAAAAACAAGAAGGGGAGATAAGGACTTAGTTTTAGTAGAGGTTTTACGACGCTCGCAACTGCATAATAAGGTCATACTAAATGAGCGCTAGAAGATTTAGAGGTGTTACAAGAGAGTAACAAACACAAAAAAGGAGGATAGATAAGGACGATAGATGTTTGATAGGAAAGAAGGAACAAACCACACCAGAGCACCTGCCAACCACCCACTATTATGTACTCGTTGTTAACCGTAAAGAGCATGCTGAAGAGCGAGCAAGGATATGCGCTATATAACTGCAGTTGTGAACTGTTATCATTATCAACAGTATTATGTTTTGTATTAGGATTATGATGATTATGATGATGATGATGCTGATTATTATTATTAT